GTCTGTATGGACGAGAAAGCGTTTAGTTGGATCAGGAGCAGAAAGTACAGATGATTTAATGAGCGCCGTCTTGAGCTGTTGGAAGGCCTGTTCACACTCTGGGGCCCATACTACTATCTTGGGGAGGTTTTTACGCATTCCTATATGGCACTTACTGGGCTTTAGGGTCAGTCCGGCCTCCCTAATCCGGTCTAGTACGGCTCCTATGTGGGCCAGGAGCAGCTAAAAATGGCTATATCATCCAAGTAGGCGCAGGCATACTCCTGAAACCCATCCAGTAGCCGATCTACCATCCTCTGAAAGTTAGCCGGGGCATTCTTCATTCCGAATGGCATGGCCTTAAACTGATACAGGCCAAACAAGGTGACAAATGCCGACTTGTGGATGGCGTCCTCGGCTAATGGAATTTGCCAGTACCCCTTGCACAGATCTATTGTGGTGAGGTACTGGCCTCTGGCCATTTTGTCTAGGAGCTCGTCTATCCGGGGCATGGACGAGGCGTCTGAGGTTGTTTTATCGTTTAGCCTCCGGTACTCTACACAGAAACGGGTCGTGCCGTCCCGTTTAGGTACTAGTACTACCAGGGAGGCCCAGGGGCTGTCAGAGTGTTCTATCACCCCTAACTGCATCATTTCCTCAATTTCTTTCTGAATATTTTCTTTAACTGCTTCGGGTATGCGATAGGCGGTTTGGCGAAGGGGGGGTCTGGTCTAGGGTTTCAACTTTGTGAGTGACTGTACCCTGGTAGGTTGGAAAACGTGGCCCCCTTGTCCTGGATTAGTCTTTGGACCTGGGTTCACTCCTGGGGGTCTAACCGTTCTCCTAACTGTACTTCTCCCAGGTCTCCGCTCTGGCCCTCTAGGTCTAGGAGATCTGGGAGTGGCAAATTATCATAATCTTCAGTGGCAGGTGCACAGATCGCGGTTACCTCTTCCGTGCGCTCTTGGTATGGCTTGAGCATGTTCACATGGAGCATGCGCTTGCCTCCCGTGCCTGTGACCGCACCGATCACAAAGGTGGTATCACAAACCTGCTCTACCACCTTGTATGGGCCCTTCCAGGAAGCCTGCAGCTTGTCCTTGTGGACAGTGTCAATCCATATCTGCCAAGTGACCCTATGTAGGAGGAACAGTCCCTATTCTGCTCTGTCAGTGTGTATCATGGTCTCTGAGGACAGGTGTCAATCCATATCTGCCAAGTGACCCTATGTAGGAGGAACAGTCTCTATTCTGCGCTGTGTCAGTGTGTATCAGGGGCTCTGAGGACAGGTGTCAATCCATATCTGCCAAGTGACCCTATGTAGGAGGAACATTCTCTATTCTGCTCTGTGTCAGTGTGTATCATGGTCTCTGAGGACAGGTGTCAATCCATATCTGCCAAGTGACCCTATGTAGGGGTAACAGTCCCTATTCTGCTCTGTGTCAGTGTGTATCAGGTAACCTTAGGACAGGTGTCAATCCATACCTGCCAAGTGACCATATGTAGGAGGAACAGTTCCTATTCTGCTCTGTGTCAGTGTGTATCAGGGATCCCTAGGACAGGTGTCAATCCATATCTGCCAAGTGACCCGATGTAGGGGGAACAGTCCCTATTCTGCTCTGTGTCAGTGTGTATCAGGGATCCTTAGGACAGGTGTCAATCCATATATGCCAAGTGACCCTATGTAGGAGGAACAGTCCCTATTCTGCTCTGTGTCAGTGTGTATCATGGACCCTTAGGACAGGTGTCAATCCATATCTGCCAAGTGTAGGGGGAACAGTCCCTATTCTGCTCTGTGTGAGGAGGAGGAATGGGAAATGAGTAGCTCGGCATTCAACCTTGTGCAAATGGGGTCTTTCATGCTGTCGTGCCTGTTGAGGGACCCTCGTATAAAAAGGCTGAAGGAGAACGACCTGTGCTGGGTGTCCACGCTACTAGACCCCTGGTATAAGCAGACAGTGGCGGAAATTTGACCGAATTACAAGTCGGAAAGGATGCAGCATTTGCAAAATAAATTAAAAAGTATGCTTTACACAGCGTATAAGGGTGATGTCACAGCACAACGGGAATCTAACAGGGGAAGAGGTGAAAGTCATCCTCCTCCTCCCACGACCACGCCATATCTGCCAAGTGACCCTATGTAGGAGAACAGTCTCTATTCTGCTCTGAGTCAGTGTATATCATGGTCTCTGAGGACAGGTGTCAATCCTTATCTGCAAAGTGACCCTATGTAGGAGGAACAGTCTCTATTCTGCTCTGTGTCAGTGTGTATCATGGTCTCTGAGGACAGGTGTCAATCCATATCTGCCAAGTGACCCTATGTAGGGGGAACAGTCTCTATTCTGCTCTGTGCCAGTGTGTATCATGGTCTCTGAGGACAGGTGTCAATCCATATCTGCCAAATGACCCTATGTAGGGGGAACAGTCTCTATTCTGCTCTGTGTCAGTGTGTATCATGGTCTCTGAGGACAGGTGTCAATCCATATCTGCCAAGTGACCCTATGTAGGGGGAACAGTCCCTATTCTACTCTGTGTCAGTGTGTATCATGGTCTCTGAGGACAGGTGTCAATCCATATCTGCCAAGTGACCCTATGTAGGAGGAACAGTCCCTATTCTTCTCTGTGTCAGTGTGTATCAGGGACCCTTAGGACAGGTGTCAATCCATATCTGCCAAGTGTAGGGGGAACAGTCCCTATTCTGCTCTGTGTGAGGAGGAGGAATGGGAAATGAGTAGCTCGGCATCCAACCTTGTGCAAATGGGGTCTTTCATGTTGTCGTGCCTGTTGAGGGACCCTTGTATAAAAAGGCTGAAAGGGAGAGCGACCTGTGCTGAATTGTCCACGCTACTAGACCCCGGTATAAGCAGACAGTGTGAAAATGTGGCAATTACAAGTGGCGAAAAGGATGCAGCATTTGCAAAATAAATTAAAAGTATTTTACACAGCGTATAGGGAGTGTCCACCTTTTAATGGGAATCTAACAGGGGAAGAGGTGAGTCATCTCCTCACCTCCACGACCAGCCATATCTGCCAAGTGACCCTATGGCAGGGGTAACAGTCCCTATTCTGCTCTGTGTCGGGTATTATCAGGGCTCTGAGGGGGCTCTGAGGACAGGTGTCAATCCATATCTGCCAAGTGACCCTATGTAGGGGGAACAGTCCCTATTCTGCTCTGTGTCAGTGTGTATCAGGGATCATTAGGATAGGTGTCAATCCATATCTTCCAAGTCACCCTATGTAGGGGGAACAGTCCCTATTCTGCTCTGTGTCAGTGTGTATCAGGGATCCTTAGGACAGGTGTCAATCCATATCTGCCAAGTGACCCTATGTAGGAGGCACAGTCCCTATTCTGCTCTGTGTCAGTGTGTATCAGGGATCCTTAGGACAGGTGTCAATCCATATCTGCCAAGTGACCCTATGTAGGGGGAACAGTCTCTATTCTGCTCTGTGTCAGTGTGTATCATGGTCTCTGAGGACAGGTGTCAATCCATATCTGCCAAGTGACCCTATGTAGGGGAAGAAGTCTCTATTCTGCTCTGTGTCAGTGTGTATCATGGTCTCTGAGGACAGGTGTCAATCCATATCTGCCAAGTGACCCTATGTAGGGGAACAGTCTCTATTCTGCTCTGTGTCGGTGTGTATCATGGTCTCTGAGGACAGGTGTCAATCCATATCTGCCAAGTGACCCTATGTAGGAGGGAACAGTCCCTATTCTGCTCTGTGTCAGTGTGTTTCAGGGCTCTGGAGGACAGGTGTCAATCCATATCTGCCAAGTGACCCAGGGGAACAGCAGTCCCTATTCTGCTCTGTGTCAGTGTGTATCATGGTCTCTGAGGACAGGTGTCAATCCATATCTGCCAAGTGACCCTATGTAGGAGACAGTCCCTATTCTGCTCTGTGTCAGTGTGTATCAGGGATCCTTAGGACAGGTGTCAATCCATATCTGCCAAGTGACCCTATGTAGGGGGACCAGTCCCTATTCTTCTCTGTGTCCGTGTGCATCAGGGGCTCTGAGGACAGGTGTCAATCCATATGTCAAGGTGTCAATATGTCATATGTCAGGTGTCAATCCATATTCATTGTGATTTAGGAATGTTAGGTGATTTCTTCCCTTTATGGATTAAAACCAGACTCTGCATCAACTGTGTAATTTTCCATGGGAGTTTTGCCATGGATCCCCCTCCGGCATGCCATAGTCCAGGTGTTAGTCCCCTTGAAACAACTTTTCCATCCCTATTGTGGCCAGAAAGAGTCCCTGTGTGTTTTAAAATTTGCCTGCCCATTGAAGTCTATGGCGGTTTGCCCGGTTCGCCGGTTCGCGAACATTTGCGGAAGTTCGCGTTCGCCGTTCGCGAACCGAAAATGTCGTGTATGCGACATCACTATTAAGGTGTTTTTGAAGACATTAACACTGAATGAGACTCCCCAGCTGCTTGGGCAAATGCTGGAGTGTTCTAAGTCTATAACTGCCACCCATCACCGGTATAGCTGATGTGGAATTCTGCTCCATATTAACCATATATCTGGTAGGTGGACCTTTATTCAGCGATAGTGCCAGGAATACAGTTTTGTATTCATGGCACTATAGTATCCCTTAAAAGAACTTTCTGGTGGTGGGGCCTGGTGGTCATAATGAGCAGACATGTCTAAGTGGGGCTCCTCACCAAATCCAGAAAAAAAACTTTTAAAATTACAGCATCCAGACCTGATTTTGCAATTCAGTGACATTTTATTTGACCAAACAAGGCGAAGGAGCCCCAAGCTTCATTACCGAGCTTTATCTCGATCTCCATGTCCTGGAACTCGTGATGCGGCCTGTGAAGCCTGGCAGGCCCTGAAGGCGGGAGATTCGGCCAATCTCCCAATCTAGAGCCACTGATTCTGTTCCAGAGTCCTATCAGTGTCTTGTTCCCTCCTCTGGACCGGTGATGCTTCTCCCGGTCCTCACTGGAGTGGTGGGCTGGCCCTGCATGCTATGCTCTATGCAAGTTAAAAATGAGCAGAGTACCTGCCTACCCAAGATGGCTGCTGACATCCCAATAACTGATCCAGCGATGGAGGTCAAGCAGCAGCAGCAGCAGCAGCAGCAGCAATGGAAAGCAGCTTTTGATGCCACACATGATCTACTATGCAGCAGACTTACAGACAAGACACAGATGTGCATCATATAGACCCACATTCCCAGCTCCAGGTCTGTACAGGAGACCATACAAAGTGTCTGAAAGCCCCGCAACTCCCAAACAGTCTCTACAGGCAAAGATGTACGGACCATGTGTAGGGATGATCCTCCCATTGGTCTCCAGCCCAGGAGGGGAGCACGCTGTCTCTGTGAGCTGTACTGCAGTCAATATTGACAGACCATGTGTAGGGATGATCCTCCCATTGGTCTCCAGCCCAGGAGGGGAGCACGCTGTCTCTGTGAGCTGTACTGCAGTCAATATTGACTGCAGTACAGCTCACAGAGACAGCGTGCTCCCCTCCTGGGCTGGAGACCAATGGGAGGATCATCCCTACACATGGTCCGTACATCTTTGCCTGTAGAGACTGTTTGGGAGTTGCGGGGCTTTCAGACACTTTGTATGGTCTCCTGTACAGACCTGGAGCTGGGAATGTGGGTCTATATGATGCACATCTGTTCATAGCGAAGTTGAATGCCAGTCTCCTCTCCACAACTTAGGCATAGGCAGGGCCGGATTAACATAGGGGCTGATGGAGCTGCAGCTCCAGGCCCAGGCCCATGGAATAGGCCCATTGCTTTATAAAAAAAAATATATATATATATATATATTTTTTTTTTTTACATTTTTTTTTCACACACTACTCTTAGGAATTCCACCTGGCTTTTATTTTATTGGCATAGCCAGTATTTGAGGCTGCCTGACTGGTGCAAATATTACAGTGATATTGGCAATACAAATGCTGGTATTTTTCTCAGTATAAACAAGAGATTACTATGCAATACCAGCACTGGCCAGTAGGGGTCACTGTGTGTGGAGACAGGCAGGGATAGGAAGTTCCAGCATATCCCTCCCTGCCTATTATACTCACTGATCTGCAGGGGTGCAGCTACAGAGAGTCCAGACAGCAACTCCCACCCTGCAGAGACAGCCTACAGCTCAGGGAAGTAAGGGATGGGGGGGAAAGGCTGCAAGGAGACATGGGGACACTGAGACACTAAGGGAAATTGGGAGACATTATGACACAGACACATGGGGACACAGTGTCCCCATGTCTCCCAGCCAGTGTCCCTGGTGTCTCAGTGCCCCCTAGTCTCCCAGTGCCCAGAGTCTGCCAGTGTCTCACTGTCCCAATGTCTCCTAGTGCCTCCATGTCTCCCAGTGCCTCAATGTCCCCATGTCTCCAAGCTAGTGTCCCTAGTGTCTGTGGCCCTGGTGTCTCCTTGTCCCCATGTCTCCCAGTGCCCCCATGTCCCCCAGCCAGTGTCTCTAGTGTCTGTGTCCCTGGTGTCTGTGTCCCCATGTCTTCAAGTGTCCCCTATTTTCCCAGTGTCCCCATGCATCCCAGCCAGAGTCCCGTAGTCTCCCAGTGTCACTGGTGTCTCCGTGTCCCTAGGTCTCCCCGTGTCCCCAGGTCTTCCCGTCTTCCTAGTGACATGGGGACCCTGGGATACATGGGGACACAGGGAGACATGGGGAATTGAGACACTGTGATACATAGGATCACTGGGAGACCTGGGGACACGACACTACGGGACACTGGGAGACATGGGGCACTGAGACACTGATACATAGGAACACTGAGACCTGGAGTAATCGACACATGGGGGCACTGGGAGACATGGGGCCACATGGGGCCATCTATACAGCAGAATCAAACTAAGTAGTTTTTTGATGATTTTACAGCATTTTCTCTTATGCCACTCCTTGTGATTAACATCATGTGATGTCACCCATACATATTTAATTATGCAAATTAGCAAGGCTGGTATGTTTTTCCAAGAAAGGTGGCAACCCTAACTACTTTTCACATACTCTTACTTAAGTATGGAAACTTAAGAGGGATGTATGGGAACAAAACTTGTGTGGACTGGCTGACAATGAATATAGTTAAAGGGACACTAGAGTCATCAGAACAACTACAGCTTATTGAATTTGTTCTGGTGAGTAGAATCATTACCTTCAGGCTTTTTGCTGTAAACACTGTCTTTTCAGAGAAAATGCAGTGTTTACATTACAGCCTAGTGATAACTTCACTGGCCACTCCTCAGATGGCTGTTAGAGATCCTTCCTGGGTCTTGGCTGCCTAAAATGCATCCAAACATTCAGTGTCTCCTCCCTCTGCATGCAGACACTGAACTTTCCTCATAGAGATTCATTGATTCAATTCATCTCTATGAGGAGATGCTGATTGGCCAGGGCTGTGTTTGAATCATGCTGGCTCTGCCCCTGATCTGCCTCTTTGTCAGTCTCAGCCAATCCTATGGGGAAGCACTGTGATTGGATTAGGCCACCACTTCTAATGATGTCAGCAGACTGCTTGTTTTTCTGAGTCTAACAGCATGCAGAGTTACAGCTTCAGGCTTGAATACAGTAAGATTTTGCTATATTTATGGAGGCATGAGGGGCCCAGGGGGGCTAGATGGTGGTGTTAACACTATAGGGTCATGAATTCATGTTTGTGTTCCTGCCCTATAGTGATCCTTTAAGGTAATGCTGACTTTGGTCTCTCTAACACTGTGGCATGTTCCCTTTCTTCTACACTCACTAAATACAGCTTTTCTCTGTCCCAGACTGTATACCAGGAGCTTCTGCCTGCTGGTAAGAAGCTAAGGAGACAAGTGGACCAGCGAGTACTAGGGGACAGTCCTTAGAAAGCATTGAGCGAGCGCATCATTAGATGCATTTATGCCAAGCTCAGGGTGCTGTCTGCATAGTATGCCCTTAGATGGCCAGCTGCATGATTGGCAGGCAGCCTGACATGCATTCATACCAGGCTGGTCTTCTAATTCTTTGGGCAGACATATCCTCTTTTTGGGCATGTTCGCCCCTTTTGGCAGGTTACGTGATTTGTGTCAGTGGCACACCTTTTTACCATGCCCATTGACTTCCAGCTTGACTGGACACTGCTGTTAGGGGTTATGGATTTACTTGAAAGATTAAAACATAAATTAGTGAGTGATTAGCCTAGGGTATGTGTTTTCTTATAGCTGCTGTTTTCTTTCTCTCCAGCACCATCTCCATCAAATACATGACGCTTGGGAGTGTTTTACTGTTTTTGGTCGATATGATTCTGTAATTAGGCCCGTCATAATTGTCAGCACCAGGCCCACTGGGCTCTTAATCTGGCCCTGGGCATAGGTTAACTACACTCTCCTGAGTTTAAGTTTTCCTCACCTTTTACCATATCTCCACCAAGGGTTCTTGACCTAAGCTATATTAGATTTTTCTGTCTGTACTCATGCATTGCGGGGTGTTCCAGTGGTTATATCCTCTTGTATTTTTATTGTTTAGCCTGTTTATTATTTAAAAAACTGTGCAGTTATATCACATGACGCAGTACTACGTCTCTCGAAATGCTTGTATTTGCTGTTGCGGCATAGCAAGCTTGTCTGTTAAACTTTTGCACAACAAGAATAAAGAATTTAAATAAAAGATAAAGAACTTTCTATTGTATGTTAGTTGAAGATTATTTTTTCGATGTAAGAGGAATGTTTTGCTATTGCTCACTGGTATCGAAACAGGAACTAGAGTGCAGTTCTACAGAAAAAAGGATAACATGGCGTTAAACATCAGTTATAAATTAAAAGGTAAGACAGATTATAGTTGGAATGAAAAAAAATAAAATTATAAAAAAATCCAATACATTCCTGGTTCATTTGGTGCATTATGGGTAAACCAGCTCTGTTTTCATTAAATCCTTTTGGAAGGCAGATCATGAAGGTAGAAAATGGAGAGATCTAATAACTCCCTTTATCTGTAATTACTGACATTGTGGCAAAGAATGGACCCACACAGATACATAGGTAAGGGGGTAATGTTGCAAGCGACAATGGGGAGCCAGAGAATACACCAGCCTCCTACAGTTTTGCTAGTGATAAATCTATTGATATGGGGAGATTATGATGTTTATTGACATTAATAAAATCTCATATACAAATATTACAATCATAATAATATAAAGAAAACTAAAATGAATTGAGGCAAACTAATACAGAAACATGCTGATACAACTGCACATGTTGAACACTGAAAATGTAATTATAAAAAAGAGGTAATGTATCCATCTGACATTAGGGATTTTAAGTATTGCACAAGTTGCTATAAAAAAAACAAATCTCGCAAACCAAATTACCGGGGCTGAATTCTCACTTACTTATTGGCAGTGAACAATTTCAAATCTGAGCCTTGATTCAGCCCATCCTGTGACCAAGATTAACCCATTAAGGACCGCGGACGTCAAGGGTGTGAATGGCAGCTTTGATATTTTTGTGATATATTGAAATATTTTTATATGTTATAGTTTAGATTTTGAAATGTTCTGAATTTTTTTTTAAAGTTAAATCATTTGAAAAGCTTATCCAACACTATTAAATCAAGGCCTATGTTACAATTATATGACAACGTGCCGAAAGGCAAACAATGTGTTAGATAATTTCAGTTTTAAATGCTTCACTACTGTTAACTTTTGGCACAGATTGGCACAGATGAAATGGAAAAAAGCAATTAGTGTTTTCAAAACTCAGATTGAGACTCTCTTTTCTCTAGGGGGGGCGGCAAACACACAAACAAGTTTCTATTTTCATAGCTTTCACTAATATACAACCTGTTTTCAAGTCTCTCAACTGCTGGATCCAGCTGAACGTTGATTACGACCGTTCATATCTAAAAAGAAAATCTCTTGGTGAAAATATCTGTTCAACTTTTCAGGTTTCGCGTTTCCTGCTACTCTGTCCTATTATCTGGCACAACCCCATAGATGAGGACTCAAAAATGCATATTTTTTTGTAAAACTGTAAAAACTTCTATACAACAGATGACTGCAACACAGAATTCTAACCCTGTAAAAATGAAATTATTATAAGAAAAAAAATGATACATTACTTGTCTTCTGTTTTACTCATGAGAATATTTTGTAGCTCACAGAATATTTTCAAACAAAATGTTCTGCAATTACCTTGTTCTGCAAAGACTATGGTTTACTTGTTCCTCAT